GGCTCCAGGAAGAATACATTTAAGAAAAACAACGTGAAACTGAGTTATACTTTGTTGAGAGTTCTGGAAAGATGAAGCAACATGTACATAGACACTAAACAAAAACCAGGTAGATATTAAGTCTAGGGAAAACAAAAGGTCATGTGAGTAATGAAATGGCTCAGTAACAATAGTATTTACATCATTGTAACAAGGTGAATAATTAGCTAACTTTTCTTTAATCTGATTTATGGTATAACTGTTGGATGATGAGAGAGGAAGCAAGCCTACTTTGTATGGTAGGAAGCTACTAAAATATAAAGAGTTTCTTAGATCTACAAAGAGAAGTACTAGAAAAAAATGCTCCCAAAGTTGGAAGTGAATGTGTTGGTGTGTGTGTGTTGTTGTTGTTGTTTAAAGTCTCATAGAATAATCTTTTAGAATGTCACAGATAAAGAACTTTGGTGTTAAAGAATATTAGGTTTCGTTTTGGGGGTATAGCTTACTGGTGGAATTTAGGCCTAGCTTGTGCAACCGTTAAGTTCAACCCTAAGCACAGGCAGTGAGGAAGGGCAAGAGGGAGTGAAGGAGGAAGGGAGGGAGGGAAGAAAGGGAGGAAGAAAAGGCTCTTCCTTTGTGTTTTTCTCCCCTCTCTCCTCATTACTCTCCCTCTTCTCTGCACTTTCTCACTCCTTCCATATCTTCCTTCCCTCCAAATCTGATTTTGGAGTCAAATTTACTAGAGTTATTGTGTTTCTAGGTACAGGTGGGAAGTAGAATGCATTACTTCCTCAGGTCACAGTAGTATGGAAATGCAGGCTGGAATTAGGATAAGAAGCCACAGGCCAGATCTTTGCTCAGCCACATGCTGGTAAATGAGAATATATTATAACCTCCAGGCCCTTCCACCTCTTCATTTACAAAGTGATGGAACAGTCTGAATAGCTCTTATCTGAAATACTTGGAAGTAGAAGTATTTGGGCTTTCAGATGCTTTGGATTTGGGAGTATTTTCATATTTATATATGTGTGTGTATTCCAACATCTGGAAAATGGAACCTAAATCCAAGCAGGAAATGCAATTATGTTTCTTATACACACTCAGCAGAAAGATGACTTTGTACGGTATTTTTATTGTTCTTATGTTTTGACACAACCCAACCATCAGCTCCTGTATGAAATTTTCCACTTTAATATCATGTTGGTTCTCAGAAAGTTTTGTTTTGGTATTATTTAGAATTTTGGACTTTTGAATCAGGGATGCTCAATCTCTATCAATAATTATGCCAGCCTAGCAATGATGGCTCAAATCTGTAATCTTAGCTACTCAGGTGGCTGAGATCTGAGGATCTTGGGTCAGAGCCAGCCCAGGCAGGAAAGTCTCATGAGACTTTCCTGTCCAATTAACCATTAAAAAAGCCATAAGTAGAAGTATGGCTCAAGAAGTAGAGGACTCACCTTGAGCAAAAAAAAAAAACTTAAGGACAGCTTGCACCCAGAAGCTATATATCCATTATTTTTCTCAAAATCAATTATTATTTTTGGTATTTTGAAATACTACTGGCTGTTGAAAAGTATTTCCCTTTCCTCTTATCCCTGTACACACACACACACACACACACACACACACACACACACACACACACATATCCTTCTCTATAATTCATTTGCTCTCTTTTTTAATCTAGTCTTTTATAGATAATGTTTCCTTTCTCCATCCTCCCCTTTCAATTTGTCTTATAAACAGCCTCAGAATCCCTATTTCCTGATTATATCATTCATTTCTTCTGTTCACCTCCTTCTCCTGTGACACCATATGACATTAATCACTCACATGGTTGGTCCAGTTAGCATTTTATTTCATTTCTTTCACTCTTCTGTCCAAGATCCTTGTCTGGGGCAGGATTGCTGGGCTGTAGATCAGCCCAGTCACCTCCCCTTTCTTATGCCTGTGGAGGGAGATCTTTAGATGATTGGAGGATAAGGCCCATTGCTGTGTATATTTCTTTATTCTTTTTTATTTCTTATCTTTTTTACTTGTGAGATTTACTGCTGGAATTTATAGCCTATTGTGTTGAGTTTAGGATTCTATAAAACTTTCTTTTGATTTTTTGACATGCTGATTTCTTTTTATTAAGAAGTATATCACATTCGCCTAACCATTATCCCAAATACTCTCTTCATTTAGATGAGCTCAGTGAGGGTCTTGTATTAGCTATTGTCACCGTCATTTTTTTTTTAAAGACAGCCTCTTCCTTAGAGCCACTGGTCACTTTTGATCAGGGGTTTAAATGTCACATTGTCACAGCAACCCTGCAAGTGGCCTTCACCTAATGCATCCCATAATGAACAGGATCTAAGTGACTCTCACAAAGGCTAGTAAATCCACTTAGACCCAGAAAGACAAAGGCTCCATGTTTTCTCTCATATGTAGATCACAGACCCAAAACATAACCTCCTATGTAAACACAGAAGCTTACATGCTTATGTAAACAATCAAGTTGACTAAAGTATAGTATATGCTGAAGTGAAACCTCACAGAGGAAACTTTCTGAACAATGAACAGGCAGTTTAACAAAATGAATATCAAGAATCTGAGACAAATTTGTATGATGGAGTGTGAGGGGTTGGATGAATGAATGAGGGGTTGGAAGAAGGGACACATGCAGTCAAAACACTCAATGTACAAATGCGCTAAAAAAGAAGTAGGAAACTTGAAAAGAGTGGACACTGAGATGGATGTGTTAAATTGCAAGTTGCTTATGCAGCTGTTGAACTTTCAAAAATTAACAACAACAAAAAAGCACTTAGGAGAGTTTTGTAGTTTTTCAATCAAGAAATGATACGGATAAGACTTAGGCAAACAGTGAGAATGAATGAAAGACCACTTATGTGTGACCATAGAGAGCAGAAGACCTAGTGGCTATACTCCATGTAGGAGCACCAGCTGGTTTTAGTGACTGGAGGAGGGATGGGCCAGGGAGGAATGAAGAAGACGCATTTCAAGGGGAAGCTAATGATGGTAGTTCCATTTGGGATAAGGTGGTTTATTTGGGAATCTAATAGGCAAGTGCTAAGTCTGGCTGATGATAGAAAACAGGTCTAAGGTCTCTGGAGAAATACCTGTGCATTGAAAAGCACAGATTTTTGTTGCCAAGCTACCAAAGCTACAAGCCAAACTACAAGCAACAAGACTGAAACAGGAAAAGTTCAAGTGGTAGAGCCTTGAGCAAAAAAGCCAAGCCAAAGCATGATACCTTGAATTCAAACTCTCACACTGGCGATAAAATGAAATAAAACAGTTGTGGGAACATGGTTGCATGAACAAGCTCAGCTAGAAGAACAAGGGAGAGAAACTCAGGCAGAATTTTTTGGTTATTTTTGTTCAAATGGGAAAATGAATGACGCTGAAGCCAAGGGGGCTGAGAGAGTGGCCGAGTAGAACAGGATCCATGAAACCAAAGAGGATAACACCATTAATAGATTCTCAGAGACCTCATAGAGTTCAAGCAAAGCTTACAGTGGACTTAGAAGACATTTAGGCTGAGCCTAAATGCAAGAAAACTACATGAAGGCTAGCCCTGACAATGGCTGTGAGGCTCTGAGCCAAGTATTCTACCAGGTGGCCTGTGTTCCTAGGGGGAGGTTGGCTTGCAGAGCCAGTATGGAACTTTTCATTACTATTCCCTCTAGGATTACTTAGACCACAGTGGCAACTGATGTGTTCATGGATCCGATGAATTATTTTCATTCTGGTGTTTGGTCTTTCTCCTTTTTTAAAAAAAGAAATTGTACAAGTCTTGTGTAATTGTCGGAGAAATGAAAGTAGTGCAGAGGGGAAAGAAGAGGAAAGGAATGGAGGGGAGGGGAAGGAGAGGAAGGTAGAGGACAGAAAAGGAAGGGAGAGAAGAGGAGGGGAGGAGAATCAAGAGGAGGGGAGGGAGGAAAGGAAACATAATGTCTGATATATTTAACCAACGGCTGTATTTGCATATGTATATCTATACACATAGATATACATATGTGTCTATACATATAGACGTGTGTATGTGTATGTGTGCATGCATGTGTATGTATATATGTGCATCTATGTGGATTCGTATGTGCATATATACATGTGCACATGTGTGTTATATACATGTGTGTATATATATATATAATATCTGGGAGAATAAAAACCCAACTGCTAGTGACAGTTGCTTCTTGAAAGAAGAGTTTGGTGTCAGGGCTTAGGAGCATTCATGTTCTCCCTCCAAGGAATGGCCCCAGCACTGATTCTGAGATGACACTAGTGCACCAAAGCTGATGGAGTTCTAGGGACATGTAGGTCAGTGTGACTTCTTTAATCTTCCCTCCATGGTTCTGTGAAGATGTTTATCACGCCCTGGCCCCCACCATCATATGAGGGGGAGGGGTCCACATGGGTTCCTAGCTTGTCCCCTGCACTCAGGTATCCCTTCTGCTGGGCCAGCTTTGGCTGCAGCTTCCACAAAGCCTCCCCTGCAGCTGTGAGCCCCATAAGCCCCTGTGGTCACCTCTGTGGACCACTACATGGAAATTAATTAGAGTCAACTATGTCCCCCAAGGCTTGGCTGTACCAGTGTCATAAGCAATTATGTTCAGCTGCAATTCCTTCCCTATCTTCTGGGGGAAAATATTCCAGCAGACAGAGTCAGGCAGACCCAGTTAGAAACTATGAATGGTAAAATTTAAATTCTAAGATGTTTTGCAAAGCCATTGGGGGTGGCAGTGACTTTCAGAGTCTGGGGTATTTTTCATCAATCCAGAGATGACAGTGTACTTGATCCCCTGACCACTGGACACTAAATTCCCTGGGCTGCAAACAAAGTCTCCTCCTCCAGCCAGAGAACAGTGGTCATAGCAACAATCAGCAAACATTGTATTATCATTGCATTACTTGCCTTTGGTGGAGCTGTCCTTTCCTGAAAACAATGCATGTTATCGATGGTAATGTCACTAGCTTTTTTACTTTCTATTTCTCTTTTCAAACTCTCTTTATAGGAGCAAAGAAAGAAGCACCAAGAGATCAAGATGCTAATAAACCCGTGGTTTCATCGCCTAAGAGAGCAGCAGCTACTGCCGCCAAGCTTCATTCACCAGGTATTGAAGAAATGCAATCTATGCTATTGGGGAAGACTTGAACTTAGGGTTTCTTCTACTCAAATGTCTTTCATGGAGCAGTGCCAGCCCAGGTAGTATTAGTAATTGTCCAGGGTGGGCATACATAAGTTGATGTTTTCTGACACTACATTGAGTGAATCCGTTGGTTGCCTTATTTTTCCCTTAAAAAGCAAAATGTTATGCCATGTGGAAGAGGGAAACCTTAGTTGCTTAGAAGTATCTGCTACTCCAAGAACCAGCATCTGAAGGCTCATGCCTTCAGGGGGCTGAGATCTGAGGATCTTGGTTTCAAGCCAGCCAGCGCAGGAGAATATCATCTCTAATTAACCACCAAAAAGCCAGAAGTGGAGCTGTGGCTCAAGTGGTAGAGCATTAGCCTTGAGCACAAGAGCTCAGGGACAATGCCTAGGTCCTGAGTTTAAGCCCTGGGACTGGCACGCAAAAAAGAAAAGAAAAGTAAAAGGAAGGAAGGAAGGAAGGAAGGAAGGAAGGAAGGAAGGAAGGAAGGAAGGGAGGGAGGGAGGGAGGGAGGGAGGGAGGGAGGGAATGAGGGAGGGAGGGAGGGAGGGAGAGAGGGAGAGAGGGAGCGAGGGAGTCATTTAGAGTTGAAAACAACATTTTGAAGATTTAACCTCATGATAATCTGTTTTCTTTTTCCTTTGTGCCAATACTAGGCTTAAACTCAGGGCCTCACACTCCCATTTGGCTTTTGTGCCCAAGGCTTAATGCTCTACCATTTGAGTCAAAGCTCCACTTCTGGCTTTTTGGTGGTTAATTGGCAATCTCACAGACTTTACTGCCCCAGCTGGCTTCCAGTCATGATCCTCAGAACTCAGCCTCCTGATAACTAAGATTACAGCCCCCATCTTAATAAATGTTTCATGTCTAACTCTGCTTTTCTATATAAAGTGGGTTACAAATCATATAGATCAACTGGGGCTATCTTTATTCAAGTGTACTATACTCTTTCTGATTTTCTGACTGCATGCTCTGTCAGTAATTGGGCGGGGATGAAATGTCAGACTATAATTGTAGGCTTGTCTGTTTCTCCCTTGGGTTCTATCCACATTTGTTTCATGTTTTTGGAAGCTCTGACATGAGGTACATGAATGTTTAGCTTAGCATTTTGATGAACTGACCATTTTATCGTTACCAGATGACCTTTATCTTGGTAATATTCTTTTCCCTGGAATCTAATTTACTTGTTATTAATAGAACCCACTCTAGCTTTCTATTATTTCAGCATGATGCAATCTCTTTCCACACTTCATCCTTTTTACTTGTTATCTCTTGATATTTAAATAGTTTCTCATGGGCAGCATGTAATTGCATCCTGTGCTTGTATCCAGTCTGAAATCCGCCTTTGATACATGTACATTTTCAGGTTTATTAGTTTGCTTGGGATGAAATCTACCATCTTACCATATTTTGTATTCAACCTGCACGTTCTTTTTCTCTTTTGCATCCGTGATTGCTCTCTTTTGCATTGAGTGGTTTCTAGGATTCCTTTATCTTCTTTGTTAATAGAGTAAGTATCCACATCTCTTACTTGTATTATGTTAGTGTTTGCTTTAGAGTTTACAGTATACACATTTAACTAGTAACATTGTCACCTCAAGTGATATGGTATCACTTCATCTAGAGAAAAAGAATTACACAAAGGTTTACTTCCATCTATTTCCTCCTAGAATTTGTATTATTTTGTCAAACATTTTGATTCTTTCCACATATTAGGACATATAATTCCATATAATATAATCATAATTATAATACTGCAACATATGATGTGCAGTATAATATTGTGCATTATAACATGTAAAAAGTACACTGTTATTGTTATTGATCACTAACATGCCTCTTTGGGGTTTTTTTCTATGTCAATACTGGGGCTTGAACTCAAGGCCTAGGTGCTGTTGCTTAGCTTTTTCATTCAAGGCTGATACTTTAATTTGAACCACAGTTCCACTTCCAGATTTTTGATGGTTAATTAGAGATAAAAGTCTCACAGACTTTTCTGCCCAGGTTGGGTTTAAGCCATGATCCTCAGATCTCAGCCTCCTGAGTAGCTAGGATCACAAGCGTGAGCCACCAACACCCAGCTACATCCCATTCAGGACCTTTAGGAGCTAATTACCTCCAAAAGAGCACACTTCTGCACTGGGGATTAGGAATTCAACTTAGAATTTTTGAGAGGACATAAACATTCACTTGCCATCTACCTGAATCCACAAACATTCACAAAAAACTGACATTCAGTAGAGCAACTATACACAGGAGCAAACCTTTTGAGGTTCAGCATAGAACCTTGCCTATCCCAGGTATGTTAAGAGCCAGCCCTGGAGGATGGTGACGTGGAAGTGCTGAGCAATCATGGTGGAGATCTGGGAGGTGTTGTTTTCCTGTGCCCAGGCTCAAGTCTGTGCTTCCTTTGTCCCTTTTGAATAATGGCTCTTCCTTTTGTTCAGTGTACAGAATATTGATTAGAACATTTAATCCCTACATCCTTCCATTGAGCCTTCGAATGACCCCTAGCTAGGAGAGGCTCTCTAGTTGGTAAATTTGAGGAATGTTTCGCTCCCTGCTCAACTATAAATTGAGTGAAAGCCAGGGTTGTATCTTCTGTTATGTCTCCCATCTCCAAACAAAATAATTCTGAACAAAATTCCCCTGACACTTAGATTTCTAAGATGCCTCTCTTTTCTCCTGAATGTCTTGGGAAAGAATCGCTCACATTTCCCATCTTTGTCTCGTAAGTTTTCTGTCACTGTAACAAAACACCTGAGATAAATAGAGAACATGTATTTTGATTCCTGGCTTCAGTGATTCCAATCCATGATACCTTGGCCTCATAGCTTTTGGGCATGGAGTGAGGCAACATATCATGGCAAGAGCACAGAATAGAGCAAAAGCATTCACCTCCCAGCCATGGAGCAAATGAGAAGAGGAAGGTGCTGGGGCCCTCTGTCATCTTCTAGGCATGCCCCCCATAGCCTAAGAGCCCCCCACTAGGCCCCACTTCCTAAACATTCTGATAATCCCAGTAGCATCACTACGGGAACCAAGCCTTTAACACATGGACCTTAAGAGAACATTCAGCTGCACATCAGTGGCTCACATCCGTAATCTTGGATACTCAGGAGGCTGAGGTCTGAGGATCCCAGTGTGAAGCCAGTACAGGCAAGAAAGTCCATGAGACTCTTATCTCCAATAAGCCACTATAAAAATCCAGAGATGGAGATGTTCTCAAGTGGTAGAGTCCTAACCTTGAAAGAAAAAGCTCAGAGACAGTGCCTAGGCCTTGAGTTCAAGCCCCAGGAGCAGCACATAACACACGCGCACACACATACACACACACACACACACACACACACACACATGCACAGAGAGAGAAAGAGAGACAGAGACAGAGAGAGAGAGGGAGAGGGAGAAAGAGACAGAAAATTTCAAGATCCAAACTAGAACAGCTTATGGATGAGTCCTCAACCAACTGTTGTCTACTTCTGCCATTTCACTCCTGCTCCTGCAAAGGTCACTCGTGACCTCTTGGTTATTAGGTCTTAATAGGCATGTCTTATTCCTTATCTTTTCTCTGGCATGTGACATTATTGACTCTCTCTCTCCTTCCTTTGACCCTGTGATGTCACTCTCTTCCAGTTCTCCTTTTACATCTACAAACACTGGTTCTTAGTGGTCTTCAATAGAAAGTCTTCCCCTGGTTCTTCTATATGCTGCCAAGTCAGCTTAGCCCCAAATAAAATCTTGATAAAATGATGGGTGACCTTGGGAAAATAACCCAAGTTCTATGAGCTTTAGTTGTTTCTTCTGTAAAATGGGATTTGTGTCTGTGCTACCATGTCATGGTAAAGATGAGTGATAAAATGCCCCACTAAATGGCAGTGAATAACTCCATGTTCAAATGGAGCTAACCGAATGTCCTTACTGAGTCTTTTTTATTAGTTAATCCATAATCCAGTTGTCACAAAAGTCACCCATTTAAAGACCATACTAAAGCTACCAGCATGACTATGTTTATTGCAGCATTATTTACTATAGCTAAGATATGGAACCAACCTAGATGTCCCTCAGTAGATGAATGGATCAAGAAAATGTGGTATATATACACAATGGAATTCTATACCTCCATCAGAAAGAATGACATTGCCCCATTTGTTAGGAAATGGAAAGACTTGGAAAAAATTATATTAAGTGAAGTAAGCCAGGCCCAAAGAAACTTAGGTCCCATTGTTTCCCTTATTTGCAATATCTAGTATATGTCTGAGTCAAGCAGAAAAGGTCAGATAAGGTGATGTTAGGGAAATGAACCCTAAGATATGTATTCAAATGTTTTTTTCTTTCATGCGATTGTTTCTAACGCATTTATAAGATTATTTCTTTGTTGCTTTGTTTGTCCCTCCCCCACAGTATAACCCCTGCTTTCACTGTATTTGATGTCGGTATAATTTGTGGAGGGGAAGGGGAAAAACAAATCGTTTAAATAGGGATACAGGTGGACCCATTGCAACAATGAGATGTGCAAGTCGTTATGTGGAAAATGAGCTTTACAACTTTGGTGCGTGGGGGGGAGGGATTAGGTGGGGGGAGGGGGGGGAGGATGGGAAGGGATGGGAAGGGGAAACAAAGGAGGAGGCTACAATGCTTGATAAGAAATGTACTCATTATCTTGCCCATGTAATTGTAACCCCTTTGTACATTATTTTCACAATTAAAAAAAGTCACCCATTTAAAGTATGTCACCAGTGGATTTTAGTGTGGTTAGAAGATTATACAACTGTCATCATTGATTCTAGAACATTTTTATTATTCCCCAAATAAGCACCATACTCCTAGCAGAGCTATCCTCCATGCTCCTGGAAATCACAAGTTGGCTTTCTGTCTCATGGGTACATGTAAGCCTCCCAATCGTTGTCTCCTGAGTAGCTGGAATTACAGATGTGAGGCACTACCACTGCCTGAAGATG